TCTCTGTGTTTTTCCTTAGAATTTGTAATCTCTTCTTGAATTAGCTTTTTATATTCTTTATCATTATCCCATTGCGAATTATATTTCCAAAATCCAGGTCCCCGTCGTTTAAAATTTTTTGATTGAAATGTGATAAATGCAGCATTATGATCAGGAGATGGCCCAAATCCTATTTCCGAGCTAACCAGTTCTTTTAAATCTGTTGATATTAACCAATAGTCGAGCCTGCATTGAATTTTACAGTCAGCATTATGCCAGGTGTATCTTTTTTCTAGAGGATGCTGATATCGCCATATGTCCTGTAAATTATTTGTATTTTTTAACGTTAAGATCTCATTTATTACTTTGGCCTTTTCTTGTATAGGTTTTCCTCCATATTTGTCTTTTTCTGTAAGAGCACAATTAAAATCACCAGCGCAAAAACAATAATTAGTATCTACATTGTTTAACAATAAATGATTCACAATTTGAAAAAAGTCTATTTGTTGGTTTTTATCATTTGGGGCGTATATATTTACAAAACAGTATGTGTCGCCATCTATCTCAACATTAAGTATCACATACCGACCATTTTTATCTACTGTCTTATCAATTATATTAGCATCAATTTTTTCTGAAATAAGTATAGCTACTCCTTTACTATGACACGTACCATGTGAAAACACTGAGATTCCTTTCCACTCGTTTCTCCATTGATTTTCTATTTTTGTGTGACTAAACGTCTCTTGTAAAAAGGCTACACCTATATTTTGATTATTTAACCATCTAAAAGTGTTCATTCTTTTTCTAGATTTGTTTAATCCTCTAACATTTAGAGTTACAGCTTTAAATTTTACTCCCATTTAACAAACAAACCAAAATGTTTTTATGTTTATTTCACAAAAAATGTCAGTACATATGTGTACATACTTACCTGTAGTGTAATATACATTGTTATCGTTGTAAGGATTTCATTTTGCATTGTATCAATTGTAAAGATTTGCCAAAAGTCAACCATATATACAATATACTCAACCATCACACACATACACATACATACAACACACCACACATTTATACATCTTAAAACAACAAACATAACTATTTATTTGAATTGTCAGTTTATTTCAGTTAAACTATACACTCGCTGTTCAGATGTAAAGGTACAATATACCTGTTAATTGCCGTGCGCGATTTTGATTTTGAGCTGGCAATTAAAACCAATAAAATAAATGGCGCCAACAGGCTCATGTTCTTAATGATTGTTTATCTACTTTAATTTGGTGGTCAAATCATACGTTTTTTCTAGATTTCGTGATTATGAAATATAACGAGAAATATATACCTTTGTGTTTTAGATGCAGTATATTACTTTCAAATCCAGAGCACCCCCCATTAAACGGCCAGACGCCAGGCTACCGCGTTGACCCGTAACCGCAACAGGCCCAATGCTCTGGAGTTATTTTGACTGTTTTGCATCCATACACTTACATTAAATGGTGTGTGCAATTGAGAGATGTTCAAAATGTTCTAAAATCCTTTAAAAAATATTCTGAATTTTAAATTCAAACAAAACGGTACCTACCTGATTGTGTTCCAAGTTATCACTTAAGCACCCAAAAAAACATTAATCAGTGACACGAAGTTTCACCCATACACATTCTCAATTGATGGATGCATTTAGTAAGATCATGTTTAAAGGAAACACATATAATTCTAAAACTATTCAATTGATTGTTTAGTTCAGACACTATTTACAGATAAAAGTACATGGGTCCAAGAGCACATATGTCTACATGTTAATAGCTAGTCTGGGCACTGAATAAGTGCCTTTAATAGTTAACGATATTGTTTGCATTAAAATGATTTCATAGTTTCACACATTTGATTATTAACTACCTTTCTTAGATATCAAACATTTCGATTGAATCATTCATTCACTCATGATTTGTTGCTTGATTAATTGGCATTATTGTCTTTAAGTGTTAATGTGATTGTGATAGTCTTTCAAAGCTAGAATTTTGCAAAATTGATTAGACTTCTAAACGCTTCATTAACTGTCTATATGCACATGTTACAATTAGCAGACTTTTTCTGTCCATGTATTTGTTCTGTAACATGTAATATTGAAGTATGTAGGGTTGATTGCCCATATAAATGTTTATATTTGCCAAAAACGAAATATTTATTCTGGTTCTATATTATGTCCACATGATTTTACATGTTGATGTCTATTCGCTACGATAAAGCTGGCCATTAATGTACAGTTTATCATATCTCAATATAACTCTATGTCCTTTTTTCTTGTTCTCCATCAAAACTGGTAATAGAGCTTTACGCCGCTGTTGGATCTCTGGAGGATATTGTTCATCCATTCTGTATCTTGTATTTGCTAGGTTCCTCACATGATTATACAGAACTTGTTTTCCATCATAGGGATTCAGATGACATATTATTGGCCTTTCTCGCTTATCATCAGGTTAATATAAGGGTATTGGCTATTACAATGCGGACGTATGAGTTATGGTTCCTAAATCAATTGTTGTAGCCATCATACCAATTGCGTCATAGTTCTACAACAAAATACTTGATTGCAAAAAGTCTTTTGTGAACGTTTCTGGTTATGATTCCTTAATCAGGTGTTGTAGCCATGATATACCAATTGCGTCATAGTTCTACTACAAAAGACTTGATTGCAAAAGTCCTTTGCGAACGCTTCTGGTTATGATTCCTAAATCAAGTGTTGTAGCCATGATATACCTATTGCGTCATAGTTCTACAACAAAAGACTTGATTGCAAAAAGTCCTTTTCGAACGCTTCTGGTTATGATTCCTTAATCAAGTGTTGTAGCCGTGATATACCAATTGCGTCATAGTTATCCCATTGAACGAAGTTCGGAGGGATATAGGGAACGCCTCCATCCGTCCATCCGGGCAATAACTCAAATACCGTTGGCCCAATTTTGTTTATATTTTGCACACATATATCCTATGGGAGTAGAAGTTCTGCTTAAAAGCCAATTTTCAAAATGGCGACTCATTTAAAAATGGCGGCCATTTTAGTGCCGGTTTTACAGTAATTTAGGTGCAATAGTAATTTATGTAAAACTGTAATAGCAATATGTTTAAATGTAAAAAAATTATATAGGAAATTAATAAAGCTAGAAATGTAGATATTAAAGAAGCACATGGCAGCCATCTTGAAAAATGGCGGCCTTTACTCGTTATTTTACGTTTTTTGCTCGAAAAGTAGTGGAGCGATTTTGTTCATATTTGGCATGTGTATACTATAAGCATGGCACACTGTCTAATTACACTTTTGGTAGAAGGCAGCCATTTTTTAAAATGGCTGCCATTTTTCAAATGACCGCCATTTTACTATAACTCGAAAAGTGGTGGAGCGATTTTGTTCATATTTGGTATGTGAATACTATAAGCATGGCACACTGTCTAATGACACTTTTGGTAGAAGGCGGCCATTTTGAAAAATGGCCGCCGTTTTAACACATTCTACTATAACTCGAAAAGTAGTGCAGCGAACTTTTTCATATTTGGTATGTGAATACTATAAGCATGGCACACTGTCTAATGACACTTTTGGTAGAAGGTGGCCATTTTTAAAAAAAGACTTGATTGCAAAAAGTCCTTTGCGAATGCTTCTAGTTATGACTTCCTGGAAACGTAATCTTAAAAATATTTATGAAATGCATATTCATGTAATGTTTTGAGTCAAAGTTGCTAGTTCTGATAGCCTCTTTCCATGTCATTGTTATAATGGGTAAGAAATGGAATATTGAATTGTTTATATTTGTTTTCAGGACTCGCAATAGACGCTCTTGTTTGAGCTTCCATAGGGCAAGGAAAAAATTAATTGTGTCTTGCTTTATTTATGAAACCAATGAAAGTCAAAAAGATAGCAATGAAGAGGCAAAAGAATAATTAGCATCAAGTACTGATGAATATGACAAAATTAATAACAATGGATCGGGGATACATATTTGAACTAGGTTCGCGTAACCGTCCATCAATTTTTTGCGTAACCGAAAATTCAAAATACATTATTATGGCTTGAGTAGAACATATTAGGTGGTTCCAATGCTCAACTGGCTTTTTATGATCGTATGTAGGTTACATCTATATACCCCGAGGTCGTTAGGCAATGTAGACCATGCCCTTAAGACAAAAATAACAGTTTTTCACTTATTTCATGTTATCCTCTGGCATCAATTTGCAAAGACAACGTTCAAAATATATATTACGAAATGCATCACCGAATGCGATGCTTACATAAATCGTTCATCCTTTCATTGATACAAAGTAGTAAAAAATAATGCACCAATCTTAGTTTTCTGTTCCATCGCGGCCATTTTATTTGATAATTCAGTGAACGTAGCCGTCCAACCTCGTTTTCAGAGGTGGCGTAACCGTCATGCTATACCACCATGAAGTCACTGCTTAAAATGACTGGTAGTAAAGAGAATACATGGAAATTAAAATCCATAATGCTGTAGTGGGGCGCCCGAAGGATATATGGGTGAAATGCACAAAGTAATATTTTGATAAATAAGAGTAGAAATATCAAAATCCAATATGGGCGACATTTTGGGACGAAAACCAGGAATGGATTTTAATTTAGAAAAAGCATTATTACTCATTTGTAATGACTTTATCATATTTTGATGACTTACCCTTGCTTTTACTTAATCTTTTATGAATGCATGGAAATAAAATTTGCCGACATTTCGTGGTAGGAAAAAAACACGGGAATAGACTTTGAGTCGCATAGTGTAGAAAGGTCAAAATCCAATAATTACCACTGTCCTAGATCCTGTCAATGGTCATAAGACTGGATGATTACATAACCTCATACGCATATCAAATTGTTAGCTAGCATGGCAGTGGATTCATTTGTCGTAATTACCACTGTCCTGTCAATGGTCTCCCGTGGAGCGGATGCCACTTTTAAAATGAGATCTTTAAAACCATACAGTTCGATTAGACGTTAACATATCTATGTGTGACCTACAGATGAAACGATCGAAAGACTGATATTCACAATTCGATAGAAGGACAGATCGTATACATAGATGGAAACCAAATATCAATTTAATGTAAGTGGTACTAAATCATTTCAAAAAAGGTAATTTATCTCAACTACAGCAATTTCATTAGTAGATTGTCTATGGAGAGTGTACAATACTTATACTATACATGTAGATTTAGAATACGATAGGCCTACCATGCGTCAAATGTCCCATGTAAAAGTACCCTTTATAATAGGTACTATTAGTGATGTGATACCGTACTGTATCTTATAAAGAGTAATTTTAGTGATGTGATACCGTGAGGTATCTGCGGTTAACTTTATTAGTGTTTAGATTGGGTAATTTCAACTTTAAAATTGTTTGTTTACTTTATAGGGTAATTTCACAACAGATTTGATAATGTGTGGTAGGTTGTGGGCATTTATTTTTTGATTAGGTTAATTAACTCATTTTCGTATTTGGTGTGTTCTCTTGGAGAGATCTATTTGTTTGTTTGTTCACCGTGTATCCATGACGTTCCAAGACGTACCCACAGTTGTTCACACGATGGCCAACGGTGGGCCCATACGGCCAGTGTGTGACAGCTCACGTTGAGCTAATAACGTGTTGCTCAACGTTAACCTCTCTATTTTATATTCTGATCTAAAAATAATAAAAAGTCAAACAATTCCTCTAATTCTGCCTTTGAAGAAAACAATAACATTTAGATAGATTGTATTAGAAGAAAGACATATTTGATTGATGAACGATTCATTTAATTGTATAATATTTCATGAGAATGTTTATTTTATGTAATCTACAGTTATTGGTATTCTCCAACTTAACGATATTATATACATTTATAGATATTTTCAGTTTTAAATTAATTGTAATATTAATTGTCACATTGTTTCTACTTTGTACTATTTGTATAATTTTTGTGCCGCCGACACACCCACGTAAAGCAGTGACGGTGCGTATATTCACACCGGAATAGCCCGACAACGGTAAATTGTCACAAATTTCATGGGATTTTATCGTCACTCATTTTGTGCATGCATTAAGCTCCTGTGATGATGTTTCATATGAATTCCCAATTTCTATCAAATTGGGTCGTGAATCGCCACAATATAGCGTCTTCGATATCGTCAATGACAACGGAATCTGAATTTGAGTAATTTAGAAAGACAATGGCATATGGTAATTACAGTCCCGTTGATCCGTATCTCATTTTACCGTTGTCAGGCTACTCAACGGTGATATTGTAACGCCGTAAGCTACCCCTCCCTAGATCATCTCCGGTATCTTCTGGGCATATCCAATGGACAAATTCGCATCATTAAATGCAAATCTCTAAAAAATAGGGGGAAAGGGGGAGGGTCACCCCAAGGCCCCTTCCATCCGGACGGGCATGTAGACATCATGCAATATTCTGCATTCTCATAGTTTATATTTTAAAAACATTCTTCAAGTTCCTTCATGTTTCTAGATATATGTAATCTGATTCAGCTTGTATTCGCGAATGCAAATAGCGACTAGCAGCTACCAGATTAACCTACTATTTCATGATCAACTCATTTAAATATAAATGGAATACTGTAGTGGCAGGTACTATACATATCTAAATGAGTTGCCATTTAAATAGGAAGTTAATCCGGTAGCTGACAGGCGTTAGTTGCATTCGCGAATACAAGATCAGATTATGTTTCACCATGGCCGCCAAATATTTCAAGTCTTACCTTGTATACACGAATTCAACTTACGCCTGTCGGCTACCGGATTAACCTACTACTAGATAACTCATTTAAATATGAATAGTGTACCTGTCACTATTCCATTCATATTAAATGAGTTGGTCATAAAATAGTAGGTCAATCCAAAGTCCATGGTCAATCCGATAGCCGACAGTTGTTAGTTGCATTCTCGACCACAAGGTTAGTTTTATTATGATAAAGAAGGTGCACAATTAAATCAAGTAAAAGACACGTAAATGTATATAATATATATTCCAGAGATCATTTCATGCACCGTGATGTGTACCATTGTTCAACATTTAGTGTGTGCTCTGCAAAATAAGACAGACATTGACTGACGCTGGCTAAATCATCAAAATAACGAAAGTACGTAATTAAGAAGTAAGGCGAACGAATAACATTTATTATTAATAAAGCAATCTCGACTAAGCCCGCAAACTGGGAAGAAATAATTCTTAGAGAGCAGCTGTGAATTGCCACGTAAACAGGTATATGAAGCACTTCAAGACGACTCTCGGAAGGGAATTCTGACAAGCATCCTTGGATGTAGGTGCATTGCCGGAATCCACTAGTTTTCTTTTAGGTGAAAATGTAGGCTTTGGAGCTGTACATTTAGAGCAAGCAGCAAAACCGTGAGCTAAATCGGTCGATTGCGGTTACCGTATTTCGAATTTAGGGTACTTTTCAAGGAGAGCAGCGATTATAAATCACTCATCAGCGCATATATCAAGTTATTACCCGTCTTCAATAATACAGCAACATTTGCATAGGATGTCTGTGCTAGCTAAGCTAGGAGGATTAGCAATCAAGTGCTAGTCTGAGCGGAGATCATTGCAGTATCTTTAGAAACTCCAAGATCGAACAAACTGGCTGCATTTTGTTTCATCTTCTAGTGAAGAACTAATACATGTTTTCAGAGAGACACTGACGAATTGCAAGTATCTTCAGACAGAATACCAATTAAATATGCATTATGTAAAACTCAACTCAGGGAAAAAGTGAAGTGGATTTAGCCTTCTGTTATGGATTGTGGGGGTGGAATGAATTACAGCTAAAAGGCATCTGGTGTAGACTATTAATGTAATAAACGGGAGAATAAAATAACTTTTCAATCGATCTGGTGATCCTCCGAGTGAGACACATCTGAAGTGAAAAACCGATACGCAGGAATCTCTTGTACTGCAATCAAGTTAATCAGACATGAAAACCATACATCCAAGAAAACAGTGATCTGTTGTGGAGACAAATAACGCACCCGCACCATATCTCCCGCATATGAATACCCGCGTATATTATATAACACCCGCGTATACATAGCATGGCTGGATACATGATGGAGACAAGGGAGCTCATGTATGGAATAAGCACAATGGAAAATACTGGAAATACAACTTGGAATTTATCCATGGATTTAAACAACAGTTCATATAGGACACTAGAAATGGGGATATATAATGCTTTGGATTATAAAGACGCGATTAAGGGTGCTGTGTTGACCTTACTAGCATTGGTAGGAACTTGTACGAATACATTTATCCTCATGGCAATTGTACCAAATAGCAAATTGCATAATGTGACAAACGTGCTTGTGTGTCACCTGGGGGTTTTAGGGCTGTTATCTTCAGTAATTATGCTGCCACTTTATGCAAGCACATCGTTTAATATTACAACAGTGTTCCAGCGTCTGCCGTTGCTATGTCAAATCCATGGTTTTATTTCATCTCTGATCGTTGTAGCTACGATCTGGAACATTACGGCATTGAGCTGGGATAAATACCAAGCGATCTCTCACCCGTTACAACATACAACCATATCCACTAAGAAAAGATTAACAGCGTGGATATGTGTCTTATGGATATTCACGACGCTGTTGTGTTTGCCGCCGCTGATACCCAGTGGCAATATCACATACACATTTCATCCCTATAAAACAGCCTGTGAAATTGATTTTTCTAACTATGCGGGAGTATGGTATAGCGTTGTTTATATGATTCTCGCCTTCTTCGCACCCATGGTTATAATGCTTTATTGTCATTCCCATTTATTCAAGATAGCAAGGACGCATAGCCAAATGATCGTAACTATGCACTTAGTGTCGGTGTTAACGGTTGTACAAGCCCCCGTAACGGCACACACTAAAGGCAAAATTCGCACACCCGTGCACGCTTTTCGTGGCAAAAGAGCGATGGGTACAATCGTCCAATTAATCACGACTTTTATTGTGACTTACACTCCATATTGCATTGTCGTTGCCATAGAAATGGCGACGTCTAAAGAAACGAATTATTATCTTGTTGTCATATCAACGATTCTATTATACGCCGCTCCTTGCACAAATGCGTTTGCCTATGGGATTAAGAATCGCATATTGCGCCAGTCATTCAAAAACTTTGTTACTAAAATATATCAGAAATATACTTCAAAGAAACACGTTCCAAAGCCAACTTTGTGGCAACAACGACGTAAGAGCTCATCCAGGACAACGAGTAAAAAGACACCATCGAGTACAAATTCTAAACGGGAGCAAATGCGCATGGAAAATGGATGCATAGTTGGCCCTAGAAGTACCGCGACATGTCCAAATAATCGTGCAAGTTTCGACGGTGCCGTTGGCCCACATAGTAATATAGATGAATACATTCCACTTCAGCCCGCTCCAGGGATACGATATGACCTGGAAACGAGTATACATCCCCCACCTGAAGATATCGCAGAGGAAAGTGAATATGACTTTAACAAAAATGATACAAATTCAGAGATTAATGACGTAATTGGATATGATGTCATTGAAGTTGATATAGAAAAGCCTAGAGAGGTTACTGTACGATATAAGCCTTCCTTGTCCCCCGTACCAGACCTGCCTGATATCGATGTTTGAGACGCACATGTACATAAAAATACACCTCCAACATATTCTCATTCAGCAAAGCCCTGTTTTAGATCTCTAAAATCAGGGCTCGTCTCAGAATTTCATACCGAATTTTGGTTTTAATATATCCCGTTAACTTAGACCAAACAATCATTTTTTGTTATTGGACAGACTTTTGGGAAATGTGATTTTTGTTCAAATTGTCTCCCAAATGGTGATCTTTGTACGCATCGCTTCATAGTATTTATAAATGTATATGTATACTGGACTCAATATAATAAATACACATCATCGCACTGAATTGATCATCAGTTTGTACAAGTATATTCATCGAGTAAAACGTCGGCCTTATATTGCAAGTCATAATACAGAAGATTAGCAAAGATGACGTCGTTTAATTTAAAATATTACCCATGGAATTCATGTAACAAGCAGTCTAAATTTATTGATCTCAGTTCAAAGAACGTAACTTCTAAAAACAGCTTAACATAAATCCAATGGAATAATGTCAGACCATTTATCCCCAATAGGCTCGTATGTAGGAAGTGAGATGAAAGGATCATTTTTCCTACTACTCACTACAAAATCGAACGATTCAGTTTAGCGTGCAGAAGCAATGAACAAATATAAAGTATTTATAGCAATGTTTGTTATTAAGATTAAGGTATGTCTGATGGGACAACAGTGGGATTGATTTGTTAGCGTCAAAGTACATACCGATTTGTAAGATATACTGTCAGACACAGGTAGAAATTTCCCAAAATATAGGCAATTTCAGACTAGTAGTCTCTGCCGATTCCCTGTGTTTTATCAAAGTCCTAAAAGATGATCTTTCAAAAAAAGAAATAAAATAAAAGATGGCGTGTTCATGTTTATACGAATTTACACGCAACTTATACCCCCTCCATAAATTTGGAAATTATTGAACAATATTTCAAACACTGACTCCGTTTGATATGATATCCAATAAAAACTTCCCTTTGCCAAACTTTTGGAGGGGAGTGTATAATTCGTAACCTATTTTAGATAACTTTGATTGTTTCAGACTTATTTACCGGCAATTTTGAATCAATCTGTAATACGTAACCAGCTTTTGAATTATGCCTGACTCTGCCAGGATATGATGACTGTTGCACTTCTGTTTTAGAAAAAATATTACATATGTCCGAATTATGAACGTGTTTGATGGAGTAAAGCAAGCACCATAGAATGTGTTATTATTACATCCTCTAATCGTTCAAGGATGAATTCATCTGCAAACTAGTCTATTTATCAGTTTTACAACTACCAAGGGTAAGCTACAACCATGCTAAAACACATTGACCGATTAAGTCCTGTACATTAACACGCGGTCATAACTTCGACCGTTAATTTGAATTTTTGACCTACCAGATGCTCGAAAATCAAGGATTGCGAGTCTCATACTGCACCGTTTTTCTTCAAACTTATACCATTAAAAGCAAATAAAAATTGCCTTTCTGTCGGTGCATTACTTTATTGTAGAGAGTCCCTCGTTCTAGCAGCGTTTTGATCCCCAGTTGTTAGAAGGCTTTCTTACAGGTGGACACCAAAATGCCGCTGGAAGTAGGGACTCTGTTTAAGAGAATAATGTACAAACAGAAAGGGATTTTTGTTATGCTTTGAATGGAACAAGTTTGAAGAAAAACGGTGCAGTACGAGACTCGTAATCCTTGATTTTCAAACATCCGGTAGGTCAAAAATTCAAATTAACGGTCGAAGTTAGTACCGCGTGATTAACACATTGCTTCCAGTGTAAGGGGTGCTATCAGTTGTACCACCGAAAGTGATAACGTATACACTGTAATACTCCAGATATACGGTATGCTCTATTATAACCCTGACTTCTAATAAGACGATTAATTCATAATGATACACTACTTGCACAATTAAATTTCGATATAAGGTTCTTTTTGAAATATCGAAGCTTGAAAAATCCTCACCTAATAAACAGATCAAAATTGAAAAATATGCTTCTTCAATTTTAAAAGCGATTGATTCATTTTCTACATGAACTATTTTTAGGCATCTAGTACTTTCATAAAGAAAAGTTTATGTCCAATTAAGTCTTCTGATTTTGATTATTTGCACATTTTGATGAATTGGAAATAGTTTGATATTAATTTTGTTGGAATTTCAGCTACTAACCTTTATATTATATGCAAATGTATCTTTTTATACCCATAGTAATATATGTATATAAATAAACAATTAAACTGTTGCAAAACAAGGCGAATCACATGGACTGTATTCAGAGAACGAATTGTAATTCAAGATTCCTATGTGGAAATTACCATCTGGTTTCCATCATAGATTTCATGTTCAATTGATTCTAGATAAGCCCCCTTACATAACGTACTAAGCTCTCCATTAACAGGGATACAACGTACAATCTTTTCACTACATTAGAGAGGTTAAGCTACACGGTTTTTGAGAACTTGCACGTAAACGTGTAGAGTTTTGACCCTCCGGGGATTCGTTCTCTCCTTCATAGTGTTACTTGGCCAATTCAGTATAAAGGTATTTAGGAATATAGTAATTGTAAATAGGTCCCTGGAAAAATCAATTGAGAGCTGGACAATAATCCCCAGGGGTCATAATATTGCACGTTCACGTATTTGTTTTAAAAAATTGTAGTTTAACCTTATTATTACATTAAGGGTAAAATATGTTCCACGATTCCCATACTGTTTCCAGATTCTATTTTGTAATTTCTTGGCATTTCCCGTAATTAACTCTGATTAGACGTACGGTGAATTCAAAAGAAGTGGAGAATTGAACCATATGTTCGTACCCAAAGGCCCAGGGACATGTATAAAGGAAATCAAGATCTGAATCGTTCCAAGGGGATTCAGATTCGAATTGTTTGTATACATCTTCCCGGGCCTATGTTTGTACCCATTGTTTCTGGCATTGTATATTGCTCTATGGGACATCCTCTTTCATCAGTTCTCTATCGTGCTCTCTGCAGAATACTCAATAGGCGAGTGGGAGCAGGGTCAAATATGGAACTTTAATTAAGATTGACTGCAACCGCTCAAAACATGTTGTACTTTCATAATATTGATATGTAGATTCCAAATATGACAATGAAAAGTTTTGAAAAATGGCCCGTTACCATGGAAACGGATGATAAGTGCCACGCCCACTTTTCATTAGCCATAAAGAATGATAAACACAATATTGGCCATAACTTTTTTAATTTTTAACTATTTTTAATGATATTGGTACCATATTGAAGGTAATAAAATGTCCCGTCACCCTATGTATCATTTAGTCGGTTTCAATTGTTCACCCGGCAATTATGACGTCATAATATCCTTAAATTCCCATTTTAAGGTATATTTAACGAATTGCTCCACATCAATGTCAATTAAATACCTTAGTGAATATTCTTATCAAATAAAATGAGATTATCTTTGTTCACGTTAATGTGCTCTTTCCAGTGATACCTTTGATGTTACATAACACTAATACACTTTTGTTCTAAAGCCTCTTAAACCCATGGCTACACTATGGTAAAATGCTGAATCCATATTTAATCGCATTTTACTACAATTTACTGATTCTCTGTCTATCTGTGTGTGTGTATGTCCATGCCTGTTTGCTACCAAACCATTTAGACGTTGGAAAACAAAACGTGGCGCATATGTCCAGTATAGTACCCCCCTCGAATATACAGTAGTTAAGAACTTGTGATGTCATCTTGTTGCCTAGCAACCACTTAGGAATGAATTAAAACGCCTTATTATGGCCATTTTGCCCTAGTTTCATCATTGTATAGGCACTAAAACATCTAGATATGGAGAAAGAATCACCCCTCAACATTGACCCTACAGTATATCACTGTCTTTGTACACTGGTTATTGTGATGTCATCTTTGTTGCCTAGAAACCACGTAGAAATGTTCTAAAGTTTGCCAAAAATGAGATAGTTCATTCAGTATTCTTCCATTTACTCACAGGTTATGTTATCAAAACACTCATTTAAGATTAAGACACTAGTATTATAATCTAAGAAATACCAATGTGTGTGTTCAAAACGGGCACTCTGCAACAAAATAAAATGTACCTGCCTAGGAACCACCTAAAAACGGTCAAAAGCTGCCGAAAATGAGGTATTTTGTCCAAAATTATGTAATTTACAATTTATGCAACCACAAAACACATCTGAGCATCATAAATACAATGTACAGGGCATCAAATAAGTCTGTTCTCCATCCCCCATAATTTTTTAATTTAGAACTAACATAGGTTTATCAAAAATCATCTTAAAGGGAATTCAATTTGCTGATCACACACCAATTTTCCGAGTGGTAGGTTACATTACAAATTTTTTAGAGCATTTTTAGTGATGTCCATATTTCACATTTTTAATAGTTCGTATGTTTCCCCCAAGCAGCTCAGGCAGTCTCAATTCTACGAGGATACGCTTCCAAAATGTTCACAAACAGGAGTGTTGCACTTTCTAGGCTTCTGGGAGCCTTTTGATACATTTGAGCAATGTTTCATGGCTACAAAATTTCTCATCTTGTTAGTCTTCAATTAATCTTTCGTCCCTGTCCTCCATAATTGCAGTATCAACTTTTCACCGTCCATTCACTATCCTGGTAATTTAACTTCTTTTGACGTAATCAATGGTCAACTACAACCTTACAAGAAACATTGTAGCAATTTAGGAAGAGTTCATTTTTGATATTCTAAGGGTGATCAGCATTTTACATAAGCTTTAAAATGATATATTGGAAAATAAGAAAGTTAAGGTTTGAAGTCCAATTACGCTGGGAAGAAAAGCTATTGAAAATGGCGCCGGAGTATCATACTTCAAAATGTACCATTTCTTGTTTAACTTTCTAATGGCACGATATAGTGACACGATAATATTTACACATGGTCTTAGCATAACTATGAAGGTATAAATGAGATGTTGATGTATTTGGTCTTTTAAGTTCTTTTATAAAAAATAATGTTTAATTTTTTTGTCTGCTGTGACGATGGAGCAGTTGCAAATGTGAACTGTGAAAATGCTCCGTCACAGCGGACAAAAAATATTAATATTATATTTTATAAAAAAATTAAAAAGACCCAATGCATTAATATCTCATTAATACATTCAGATTTATGCTGAAAACATATGTTAATATCACCGTGTCACTATATCATGCCATTAAAAAGTTAAAAAAAAGAAATGGTACATTTTAGAGTTTGATACTCTGGCGCCGTTTTCAATAGATTTTACTCCTAGCGTTATTGGACTTCAAACAGAAGTGAAGGTTACACGCAAATGATATATCCATTGCATGGAGTAAGTAATTATCTTTGATATAACGAAACATATGAGTTAAAAATAAATCGTGAAGCATTCTTAGTGTTTTTATGAAAAATAGCATGCTCCGTCACAGCGGACAAATCTTT